TAGCCTACGATTATTAATCTCCCTTGTTGCACCGCCCTATTGGCTTTTGATGATAAACAACATGTTACATTAAGCTAGAAAGCGGCTCGATGCAAGTGAAATGGTGAGCATATTCAACTGAGCCAACAGAATATCAGGCCCTCCCTGTTTTATGGCTTCCAGCATAGAAGACGGGTGAGTAGATTTAATTGCATGGTGAATGTTACGAAGAGAGATATCAATGCTAGATAGGATCTAATTTCTTCTAACGTCAATGTGCGTATTTATAGGGTCGATCTCCATGTTCATGGAGGTGGCAAATAACGAGGGAAATGCTTCACAGATAGCGACTGAGTGTTGGAATGAGTGCATTTCTTCATCTACCAGTTCAGTGGTCATTAAACATCGTGTGACGGGATTGTGTAATCACAAAAGCGATACGGTTTTACATTGTTAACAGGCGGCTAGCTTGTAGCAAGCGAACAGAGCAGTTGATTGGACGCCTACGCGTAATTCGTCTACGCGCTGCTTGATTCTTATTTGCCTACGCTGGAGCGAATTCATTTAACGAAGTCAAATGAAGAATATAATGAGTGCGGAAGCGTCGTTAGTTATGGAAATAACGCAGTTATCTACATCGAGGTTTCTCCACGCTTGTTATGCTGTCATTTTTGCTAAACTTGCTTTATCGAATATACCGTTGTTTGCTGAAGAACCGAGTTCTGCGACAGAGCGGTTGTTGGCTATTCGACGGAGTATTTTGACAAGCTCTTTCGCTTTACATTTCATTCGTATGGTTATTTGAGCTTCATGTGTTTTCCGTATCAACTGGGAGTGTTGACTTCAGCGATGAATCGATGTATTTGTAAGTTCATTGTAAAAGTGCGCGATCAGTTTCCTGAATTTCTGAGTAATTGTACGTTTGGCTGCATCTTTTTGAACATGTGTGATCCGCTTTGCTTGTAGAACAAGGACCTAATGGCTTCATGAGACTGATAATAGAAATAATCCGCGGCTGTGCAAACTTTGATGTAGCGTAAGAATGCATCCCAGCCAGAAGATTGCATTACTTGACGGAACTGCTCCCAGTTAATCATTTGGACGACGTAATAGGAGAGAGAGACTTGCGTGATGCTCATGTTAAGGGTGAAGTTGAAACGTGTCTTTTTGTGGTCGCTATCGGGGAGATTCTCAAAGGCGTCTGTGTGTACTTTGGCCAAACCAAATGTAAATATCAAGTCTAATGTGTTAGTCGACCTATTTTACATAGTAACCCACTGTGTCCATCCGCCAACTTTGACAGAATCATGGAACAATTGTACATTACGGGAAAAATGCAGCTAATTAACACTTAATGTAGGAAGAGTAGAGTGAGAACAACCACATGATGAAAAGAGAAGAAAGTGATAAAATGAAAATCGTTTTGGTGTACTCACCACAGTGTTCACACAGAAGCATGCAGAAAAGGGGCCAACCTGCATTATGTAGGCTAGTGCAGGTTGTGAAACGTCCGTTACAGTATATTGTCTGCCGATCCACGCAGGCTATATCCGAAATGTAGGGGGGTTAGGACAACGTCAATGACTAGTTTATGCACAGACGCAGTGGGAGCGGAAACGACGGAATTTGGGAGGGCGTTCTACGGCAGGCGCAGAGGAAGAGAGCATACATTTGGCCGACATTATAGTCGCCTGTACAGAGTGGTCAACTGGAGTTGGCTGCACCTCAAATTCGTGTTGTGATGGAGTTGAATTAGGTGCCTGCCAACGTATTTAAGACTCCTCTACCTCTGGAAGATCATTATTAGGTCGCCACATAGGCGCCGATCCAGACAGATTGCACACTCATAGTGTTCTCAGTCCAAATTGATACGGAAGAACGAACAACCCTTTATAGGGCCTGGTGACTCTTCGCTGTGGAGTCTCAATCTCTGCAACATATTGTTTTGTACCAAAGCTGCCAGGCCTGGATCACCTTTTCCACATCAGGTCGCAAGTAGGTGTTAAGCAACTGCGATCAGACAAAGGGATCATACCGCCTGAATACACTTCCTAGCATGCAAAAGTGTTGATTTCCAGTCTTTGATGTCTTCTCCACTTGTTCTAAGCATCCCAGCTCAGCGTGAATTAATACCGTAGTGTGGCGCTCCTGGTTGTTTGCTTGCAGAACATAGGTGCCAAGCTTGTGTGTTAACGGTTAACTTGTAACACTTTAGCAATTAGAACAGGTTCAGCCACCGTTGTAATCGTTTCGGAGCACACGTGACGCAGTGGCTGTATGAGTAAATTTAACTTCAGCATCCAATGGATTCTGGGTAGGTTAATATCGGTATAAAAGGCTTGCTGGATGGTTCTACACAGCTGTAGACCCTTGAGTCTGCGTTCATAGGCAATTCTTTCATTTGACTGCAGAGATTCTCCTGCAACATTTTGGATCATTAGGACTATATATTTAACTGAGAATGTGCCAGTAATTTCCTGGGTCGATTGAGAATTTGTCTAGATAGCGTGTACCGCTTTTACTCACAGCGATTCCGAAACGTAGTCACGTACCACTGGGGTGTATTTCGTCTTATCTGAAGTCTGTGCGAAGTACTGCCGAAACTGCTTTCCTTGCTTTCCCCCGAAATATAGTTCCTTCGAGTCTGGAGCTGTTTGCGACTTTGGAGTATGCACGCAGCTGAAGTTGTGCCCCTTTTGACTATGATGAGTTTTCGAGGCGCAACCTCTCGTAAAATACTTCTCACCATCATTCCAAGACGAATTCGGAGGCATCGGGCCCGGCACTTCTGGATGCATCCTTTAACCACTAATAACTGCGTGACAGAAGTGAGGTTCCCTTCTGGGATCTGAAGTCCCAACCATCTATGGGGCCATAGTTAAAACTGAGCAGCCAATGGCACACATATGCAATTACCTGGGATAGTAGCATTGGTTCTGCACAATGCAAGCTGGCTCGAAAGCGCAGAAGACCACAACGACTGCAAATCGAACCCCGGGCGAAAAGCTACGAACCCAATCAGATTCGAAGGGTGTGCAATTTGACTCAATTCGGAAAGGGAGGTGACAGGTGGGCGAGAAAGCCGATTGCCAACGCTGGCGGGTTTGCCACCAATCGTGCTTGGGAAAGACCCTACGAGAGTGTTACCACTGCCCAGCCGAAAGCTGATGAAATCGCGTGTTATACACCAGGCGTGTCGCCAAGGCTTGACCGGAAGCTTATGAAATCGCGCGTCAGACATCACGAGTGTTGTCGTACGTTGCGTAGGCGGACGAAGACTGGAGTGCCCGAGCAACACGGTAAACTGGACAGATGCAGCGCACAAGTATGTGTGGAGCGTGGGCGTGCAGTCAATTCCGCATTGTGATACCGACATACAAATATGAGCGTTCTTTGCCCTAATACAACTCTGATCTGCTGAGTATTTTTCTGTCTTCCTTCCGGTCGGGTTTGCCAAAGTGCCAAACGGAGCACGCGTAAGAGCGCAGATTTAGCAGCAGGCGTGAATCAACCAGTCGAGAGCGGGCACAGCGTTATAACAGGTTCCTGTTCCCATTCTACTTCGCTGTTTAGCTGTTGTGACAGTAAGTCAACTAACTTCCCCTGTGACTTTTCAAAATGTAGTTGCGGCTGCTGAAGTAGAGACTGCGTCTGCTTTAATGAACAAGCCATGATGATCGTTCATTACCTCCTCCATTATGAAAGGTTGGGTCAAGCCTCGCGATGGATTTCACCTACTTAAGTTAGTGAGAACACGACTAACCAAGGACAAGGATTCATGGGTTCTTGTACATAAGGAAACGACTTCGCTGTTTTTTCTTATGGCGCCCCTAACATCGCTACCTTCTGTGTCTACCTAACTTCAGTCGTCACCGCAGTGTGCAATAAGGTATTGAGAAAACTGATGGCTAGATCTGCTAAAAGACCATAACTATTTGCTACTTTTAATGTCTTATTAGATCAGTTGAGCAGCTTAAGTAAGTTTGAGTAGGAAAAAGTGCTATTGCATTTTCTGAACAGCGTTTTCGGTTATAGATCACTAAACCATCAACTGTAATATTGTATAACATCTATTCATGGATTTTGGTTTGCTGTTTAACTGCATCGGAAGCCCACAAATTACTGACCGAAAATTTCTTGTTTCATTTAACTCATGTACCATTTTCTTACATGCCTGTCTCCTTGACATAACTCTCTTTGATGCTGTAACTTTATCTCAAGGAGGCACTGTTTCGCGGAGTCTTTAATAGTGGGTTTTTGGTAGAGTTTATGCTAAACTAGATCAGTTTATCCGAGTACAATCGCAAAGGTCAGTAAAGCGCATTGTGGGTGATTGAGGCACAGTAAATCAAGAGGAATTTGACCCCGTAAGAGAAAAATGGAATATCACTTTGTTCCATTGTTCATTATACGGTAGCAGAGGTCTTTATGGCTTTGTTTCACATACCTCCTTTAGCTATCACTAAAGTCTTTTGAAAACTCATAATAAACCCTTAAAGACACATGCTTAACTACGTTTGCTATATGCACAACTTGCAAAAAACTGTAGTTTAGAACTAAAGGTTTCTGCACCGTGCATATTTGCTGAGAAGATAATTTCTGTGCATGATCGTTTATCATTCTTGAAAACTGAACATTCACTTCCATCCTTATGAACGTTTTGCTTAACAAAAGGCTTTTGCATTCTCAAACATTTTAAACGGCTATTTTAACTTGTTAGTACATACTTAAAGTTTCAAAGTTACTTAGCTATGTCAGAATCCGTCTTCAGATCAATAAAATGTTATGACTGCTGATCCCGCTGCCCACCCACATGTTGTAAACCCACTCGTTAAATTCCGCCTTATACGCGTCGTGTTGCGTTATAGGACCAACTTTAGATTCTAGATTTAATAGCACGAAATAGTGCCATGCACACTCTTAATACATGCTTAGTTGTAGGATTCTCCGTGGCACTATGAATGATTAAAATCTTCAGTACATAGTGGAGAGTACCGGTAAGTCAAAGGCAAACAACTCACGGGCTTCAGGTCACAATGAACAATTCCTCTTTTCAGCAGTAAACATAGACATTGCAGTAAACCAGTGGCAACATTTCGCAATGCGTCTAACGTACAGCCGCGGTAACTTCTCTTCCGTAAAAAATCGTAAAAATTGCATCTGAAAGTGGCAAGACAAAAGAATGAAAATCATGTAACAAGACTAGATGAAAGCCGCCTCAGAATTAAAGTAAACTAGCCAGTTAATTTGACACCGCTGTCTGCCAGTTGTGTCTTTTGTATTTGATGGCCTCTGAACGGTAAAGAGTTATTGCGAGACTTGGTGTTTTCGTATCGCTGACCTGCGCCATCACTCTGTCTTGGAGCACCGTTGCTTACGGTCGATTGCCTGATTGCGCCCGCTGCACCAGGGAACCAATGTGGAAGTTAGACAGTGTGGCTTGGGTGGAGGCAGCCATTCGCTGGAGGAGCTCGTCCCGCTGCGTCAGTTGTGGTGTCTTGGACACGTACTGCGTATGCCCGGTCATCGTGTTTCGTGTCACGCGTGCATCGCAGTTGCTGGACAGGCGCGGTGGACAACCTACCACATGGAGAAGCCACACCCGAATTGTCGAGTGACGCATCATCCCCCCCCCGGGTTTTCACCCTATGTAACTAATGCATGTATGCTGCTATGGACTGTGCAATGAGCAAATCTGATAGCGCCATGTTATAAAATAAAAGAGCAGTGGTACTCCCCTCGCGCACTCTGGGACTTGTGATATTGTTATACAGTCGCAAGTACTGTGACTATCACTTTCTGTGTGTATTTGTTTACTGTGTAACCAGTTGATTGTCAGAACTGAGCGTGTAGTGCTGACCACTTCCTTACTGAATATTCATGTTCGTTTTTATAGTTCTTTTTGAGCGTCCTTATGAAGGACAAAATGGCTAGTTCCATTTCAGCAGAGCCAAAGGCATTCACACTTAAATAAATGGTATCAGTGTTTTGACTATGTTAAGAAGGAACAGTGCGCTAAAATTGGCGCAAAATTTCAGAGTAGGAAGAACACAAATCTATGTAACCTAAAATAGGAAGGATATTTTTGAATGAGTTTGTAGACCACAAAGCAAGACTGAAAAGAAAGAATGATAGAAAAAGGGGTAACGAAGACACGAACGCACCTTGCTGGAAGTAGTGCCAGTCAGCACTGACGGGAAAATCCCATTGTCTGGACACGTGATTCAAGAACAAGTATTATATTTTGCAAAAGAATTGCGAAAAACAGACTTTACGTCGTTAAACAGTTGGCTACAGGCTTTCCTCAGTGTACGATCTTGTGTTTGGTAAGAAATCGGGCGAAAGCGGTGACTCAGATATGTGTGCTGCATTCGACTAGGCAGAAAAATTGCCTGAAATATGTTCCGGCTACACAGCTCAAGGCATTTTTAATTCACGCGAAACTGCTTTGCTATTAAAAACGACGTCGGATAAAGGCTTTGTGTAAAAGGATAGAAAGGAGCAGGTGGGAAAAGAAGCAAGTAGCGTATCACAGTTATGCTGTGCACCACCACATTGGGGGAGCGAGAACCGGCGGCAGTGATTTGGAAGTCAGCCAAAACTCGAATTTTAGAAATATCAACATGAAAATCTCCCAGCAGTTTGCAAGGATAATAAAAAGGTCTGGATGACTGCAGCTATTTCCGAAGATTTAACAGCAAAATACAGAAAAACGCAACATTATATCTTCTCTCGACAAAGACTTTGACCTCACTAATACCACCCACTTACTATCAAATTGCAGTCCCTGTCACCCAACACCACTGTGTTACTTCAACCGTACGACCAGGGTGTTATTCAGACGTTTAAATCAAAGTTTAAAAAAAGCAGCTTCTGCATCGTATAACGATCAGGGAATCCCACAAAGATATGTCCGGAAATGATTTCATGAAACGAGTAAATTTATTAGATGTCGTGTTCTACATAACTTCTACTTGCGAGGAGGCGTAGAATTCAACCATCACTGTTATTTAAAGCGGGGTTTCCTTGTACTGCAGAAATAGATTCTGAGCGAACAATGCAAACCTGGCCTAAGACACATGAACAAATTGTGCCTCCTTCAAACACAATTGCTATGGATACTCTCTCAGAGGAATCGTTTGGATGCAAACTCGCTGACAACCATCTGGTTGATTCTTATTTCCAAACATGTGACACAACAGAAATAAACTGCGACCTGCCGACCACATCAGTTTTAGCAGCTGAGGATGTGAATAATGAATCAGACTACCAGCAGGAACAGGATCCTACAAACGTTCTCAAAACCCATACATTCACAGACGCACCGGGTGAAGTTGATATTTCACGCTCCTAAGCAATACCTAGCGGACACACTGGCATGCTTGCACTTCTTCTGGACGTGAAGGAAAAAGTAAATTCCTTTCATTTCCATTGCCAAGCAACAGATCACTATATTTGATATTTTTTCATCTGGTGGATAATGATTATGACAATAGAAATGTGTGTATGATTTTTAAATGTTGTGGAGTTCGATGATTAGCATGTCAGTTTCTAAACTGTTGACTCACAATCTGTAAGATTACCGCATTATAATTACTCATCTGTCCCACATTATGCACCACTACTAATATTGCAAATGATGGCGGCATTGATATTACGTTCGTGACAAACAGCATTGCCGGTGTGCTGCAATTAAAGTCAGAGTGAATTACGCGCAGATTGCCATTTCTGACAACCTAACTGTGTGAAGCGGGGTTTTCTGCAGTGTCAGCAGCCGAAACATAGCAACGAAATTAATTGGACCTAGGCAGCACACATCAGGCGTCAGTGTCTCTTATTTCCCTCAGATGGGACCGTCTCGTTACAGAGGAACACGCTCATGGTTGTCCGCAATTTTGCTTTCTAATGAGTTAACGTATTATATCATTTTATATCTATTTTTGGTGTAACGGGAATTATTTTCAAGACACCCTCAATCATAATTACATTAAAATTTTTCGCTCAAAACAATCTAAAATGGAAAAGTTCAACAAACCCCTCATCGGGCCGGGTTACAATTATCAAACGCCGGCCGGTCCACGGCGATAAAAAGGTTGGAGACCACTGCCTTAGAGTGCACCGGCTCGCAATACCCCGTATTTCACGAGACAAGCTGCTTGTAATGTAATCCCTTCGCAACAAAATATTACATGTCTGCGTACTTTCGGAACAAGGAGGAAAGTAATATAATTCACCGTTTAACATATCCTTTGAAAGGAAATTGCAAGGCTGAAATCAAACATCTATCTTATGCCTCCTTCATCCCTCCATTGGTGAGTATATCATTCCACCCGGGGGCTGTCCTGTCTACCTCGATCCGATTTGACCTGTGTGGTTCGTATGGGGCGAATAGTTTGGAATATTATTACCTTCTACCTCACGTTCAAGTTAGACATGTAGATCCGTCACAAAATTGATATTTCATCACATAGAGAAATAAGTTACGTGTAGTGATTGGTATCCATTCTGCTGCGAAGGAGATCGTTCCGCTCCTTATGTTACGGACAACTTGACTTCGAGGTCAAACTGTAGCTTCTAGTGCGCCTTCAACTATCCGACCGAACTAGCCTGAATACCAACCAAAACGAGGCAACCTATCTGCGCCTCTTGTTTAGAGTATCGTTTTAGTACCAAACCAACGGTGTGCACTGTTGTCCTGCGTGCATCACTTGCGCCCTTGTTTCAGACATCTCTTTTGCTGATTTACAAAATAGGCTTGACTACACTCCAGGCTTATACCCGGTGCTCTGAGCGCATGAGCTTCCCTTCCCTCAGGGACTGTGCGCGATCCAACCCCATTGTCCAGTGAGGGCGCGGGGCACACGGTGCATTGGCTGAGCTCCTTTTAGTAAAGTCGCAATTGCCGTCCATTTGAGTTGCACCACGCTAGTCTCACCCAAGTCTCACAGTTTTCCTACGCACCTCCGAAAACGTGAGTATTCTGTGCGTAACTGTGTTCAGTCTCTACGCTATACCGAATTCCATTGGCTGGTAGGCTGCTACGTAGATGCAAGTGCGATGATTATCGGATGATAGCCTTTGCACTAAAGAGAAAAGCTTCTGCACTAAGAATGATGGCTTCTGCACTAAGAATGATGGCTTCTGCACTAAGAATGATAGCTTCTGCACTAAGGATGTAAGCGATTACGTTAAAGATGTTAGCAAGTGAAAAATTGGTTAGAATTCTCAACCAAAGCTTCTGGTACAAAAGCCTGACCGCAAGGCAGCGGTTTGGCTTGGGGCTTCAAGGGATCCTTTTAATTAATATGGAGCCACCTCATTCCAACCCCAACCTGGAGGACCAGAAAGCTGCGCTTTTCTCTCCTCTAACTTTTTACAAATCTGGTAGGAATGGCTCTGAATGTGCAAAAACACACCACCCTGCATATCGCAGTGGATCACATGCACCCTAACCATCGCATCACGAAAGTCCAGCCTCTTTCAGCCACACTCATTTGATGACCTTTCTCGCTTCTGCTGTGGTTGTACGTCTATTCCACTGTTACAGTGCTTGCTGATATTATCACCGAACTATGAGCAACTACTAGGCAAATTTAAAGAAATGGTGACCACCATTACCACAATTGTTTGCGTACGCCATTTAGACTTTGCAACCCAGGTCACCCTAGTAATTGCTGCTTCAATCCTGAATCGAATGGCTAGTAACACTAAGCAAAACGACACCAATAGCTCAGAATATCAGTAGCCTTTCCGAGACCACAAGCGGCTCACATTCTACTAATGTGTTTCTCAGTTCGATCGGGGGAATTACACGCAAGGCTTTGTCCAATCTTCCAACTGAGTACATAGCAAAAGAGCAAACCGGTACTAGCGAAAGTTGGGCTACGGTTGCTTCCAAGAAGGGCCAACACTTAAAATCAGCAGCACCCCCAATGGATTGAAACTGAGGAGAGAAGTGAAATTCTTCTGGTGCGAGCACCACCGTGTTCCTACAGCAAATAACTGAGTATGTCAACAGCTATCCGTGACATGTCGAAAGGTGCTGTGGTCCAGCCGCCCAGAATCAAACTTCACATCGTTTCGATGCAGGCAGTTGGGCGACTTCAACCAGTGGTACGCCATTAGTAACCTACTCCGCACTGTTTTTAACCTGTACATGTAGTGTGAATCACGAAACAGTCCAACTCTAAGCATTAGGAGGGGCCAAGGCTTCTGCACCTTATACTGAACTTCATCACCGAAGTAGAATCAGTTTTAGGAGGAAAGCTTCTGCAATAAGAATGGTGGCTTCTGCACTAAGAATGATAGCTTCTGCACTAAGGATGTTAGCGATTGCGTTAAGGATGTTGGCAAGTGAGAAATGTTATAATACGTGTGAGGGAAGACGTTCATGGCTTTTGTTAGCAGTGGTTCAGTGGTTTGTGTGGCCACAAGCCATTTTTCATCATTTTGCTTTTGCTTCAGCAGTGTATTGGAGTAAGCGGGCACTGGGACCCAACGCGCGGACACGCTCACACATTCCGTGCACGCACTCGCTGTGTCTGCGGAATACGAGGGTCTCATGCATGACCGGCCACAATAATCGCACTGACGTCGAAACAATGGCAGCTGCAGTGCTGTCAGCTTTGGCTGTGGCGACGGTTTCGAACTGGCTTACGCTGAGGATGTTGTTGTATCGTCTAGACAACATCTTGCTGTACTTAGTAGTAGGGTATTTTAATGTATTGAATTGAGAGATTTTGCATTAGGTTCCAAATTATATAGTTGTGCAGTAACAGACCGTCAGCTACAGGCATAAGCGGCAAGACAGCCAGAATCTACATATTTGATTCCACAGAACAATCTGCAATACCCACCTTCATGTTGATCGGTAACACACATCCAATATCATGAGTGACTGTGCCTTTTTCTGCAGTTCTCAATCGGGTGGCTTATGAGAAACCGCGGAAGGCGAAGTTTGCAAATTTTTACCATCCCATGCTAACGTATGCATGATAGCAATGAATACTCACGACATGACCTGATAATTCGGTTTCGAGCAGAATTTGTTCCCCATTTCTTTCAATGATCAGTAATGGCGTACCGAATCTTTTTTGAAGCACACACAAACTCACTGACCGGATCAAGTCATTGTGAGAGCCTACTACTTGAGATGAATCTCGCAGTTAGCTACCCTTTTTTCACCAATTCCTAAACGAAGGAACTGAATGATTCTACCATGGATGGAATGGGCATCATCTACACGCAGTGAGGGAATGTTCCTTTAGAGACCCGTCACACCCTACGAGTCTATCTCTAGGCATAACTTATTAGGAGTCAAGTGAAAAAGGAAGGGTGATCGTTTAGGCTAACACAGTTGATGTACCCTTGTAAAGGTGCACCGACTTACCCTAAGAGCTCAAAAACAATGCAAAAGTGATTGCGGAAATCAAAACACTCCTTAATGTGTACCACGTTGTGCTGGCACAAAGGATCAGCGCTTTTGAGATCTTGAAGTATAGAGACTTCTGTTTGGGCTTGCTCGTAGAAACTGCGTGTAGAAGGAGAAATGGACCAAAATTCGTCTTGCGGTAACGTTAGCAAAAATAAAATAAGAAAGTAAACATGTTTTGAAGGGTAAAACAGCCACTTATTCCTTAAACAGTCCAGGCTATGTAAAATCGTTGTTGCACATGAGTAGTATCTGTGTATAACCCTGTTTTGTGTTTCTGCGATTGTTATTTTACGCACCACAGTTGGTACTTTGGGTTCAAACGTAAAATTGATCTGAATGTCCCATGATTAAAATGACGACATTTCGCTTACAATGCGGTGCTGAATCACCCCATACTAACGTTTGCATGGTCAGTGCACAGATAACCGAAAAGTAGATACTGTCAGCGGTTCAGCTGAGCCAAATATAGACGGTGTGTTTTACGACTAAGAAAACATGGATGAGTGATACGCGGAGCAAGGTCTGGGAGATGCAGGAGGCTTACTTGACCAACTAGGTTTCAAATTTCCGTTATAAACGTAAAAGCGAGAACCCTCAGAAAGTCCAGCAACACTTACACCTGCGATTGAATCATTTGAATTATATGTATGAAGACTTTAACCGTGCTAAAAGAAACGCAATATTTTAAAAAGAATACGTGTGGTACTCTACTGCAGCAAACTCTGCGATATATATCCCTAAGGAAAATACAAAATATTGAATAGGAGAAAGCTATCGACCTTCCCATAGTTTTATTTACTTTAGCAGCATGTAAGACCGCATCGTATTTCACCATCGTCTACCTATGTATCGTAAAGATGTCCATTGCAGCAAAACCATTGTTAAATATATCAATATCCGTGGACCACGAGTGGAAATCCTTAACTTTTATCCATTTACTAACTTATTTGCATGTCATTGGTTCCCTTAACGGCACATAATCTGCTGTTACTGAAAGCAGTGTTGAACAAAAGCCACTCGATTTCCGTTTTGATTGCAGAATTTAACTCACAATTTCTGCGCAACTCATAGTTTACACTAAATTATATGGCATACAGGTCCACCAAAAGGCACGTATTCTAGGTGAGGAGGATTTGACTTCAGTAAGAGTACCGCTGTATAAAATATCAACGCAAGGAAGAAAACAAATTTGGAAGCATCTGAGAGGAAAGATGTCACATTTGTTCAGTTGTGGTTGCAGAAAACTTATTAATAAACTCAATTTCAAAGTAAAAGCTCTGATCCATTTAAGTTGATTTACTCCCGACATACAAAACAAAGGCTACTTATCCTTTCTGGTGGTAAGGGCCCACATTGTGACTATGAAAATTAGTGAAGCAGAAGCAGAGCGATTATAATGCGCTTAAAAGCAGACGTTTACTGCTCTGTAGTTGATAAAGTACTTACCGTTTATTGTTTCGGATAATTTTGATTGCAACCATTTCAGCACTTTGGTGATCGAGTGCACGAACCACGCGACCAAAGGACCCTTTTCCCAGAGTCTCCAGTACCTCATACCGGTAAGCAAGATGGTCGTGTTTGACCTGTTTGAATCATGCAATTGCCAAGGTGAACGGCAGATGTTTGGTTGGTACGTTTTCTGATGCATTATAATAACACAAACTACTATTAGCCAGGGAGTAGTATCGTTTTAATTTAAAGACTTGTTTTTTCAAACACTGTATTTACTCGCAGCAACCACGGTTTATATGGTCTGTTTCACTCGGAGGAAGGAAACACACGAACCAGACTACACGCTCAACAGCTCTCTCCACAACGTGACAGTTCGGAGAAGTGCATCATTGATCGCGGAGATGGCTTGAATGTAGCGAAACTGAACTTAAGGATCACAACGGTTCAATGAAGCACCACACAAGTGGGCATTATTATTTTCATTTTTTATTATCTCTCGAGGAGTACGTTAGCTATAACTTTTCCCATATCACCTGGTGTGCGCACATTTAATTTCCATTTCAAATGACGGTTACGCAGCAGTGTAGTTAAGTCGTTAGAAGCTTAAACTGACCATTCACGTATACTTTGATCCTTTTAATTTCAATTTTTACTACAACTATCCGATGTGACTTGTAGATCAACTGTTTTCTATCCATAATAAATGGTTGTTCATTGTTCATTGTAATGTTCTAATGCATCATTTCGTAAGCAACTGCAATTCGCTAAATAATAGTGAAGCCTTAATGCCTGAAGAGACCAGAGTGAGCGAATCTTTACAAACACCGGTTCTCGATTGCCTTTTCATATTATTATTATTATTATTATTATTATTATTATATAATTTGCACGTCGGGTTAGCCATTCTAATGTAACGTGTACTGAATAGCTGACATCGTAATCGATGTTTTAAGCTTGAGCAAGAAGTTAACACTTTTGCATCTAGTAGCACTAATTGAACAGAAACAAAAGGGTGCAGTATATAGAAGCATACTTTGCAACGCAAGTGACAAGTTACATGAGGTAAACAGAGTGAGGTATACTTTTTATAGGCTTCAAGTTAGACAATTTTGAGAGAGCAGAACCTCAGGCAAACAGAAAAAGCGAGGAAATTTAGGTTCAATAGCTCAATAGTGTATGATGGCATAAAAAGCATACTTTACAAGACCCACAGGATGGATTTAAAAAAGAAAAGTAAAATCAAAATATTCCAGCGTGAAACATGATATATCAATGGTTGAACCATTGCACTTTATCAAACTGTTGTGTAGCGTTTATCACTAAGATGAAAGTCTAAGGGTCTTTCGAATGTCGTCATGTCTGGTGCGTTCACCATATATCTTGCTAATGCATTCCACTGAGAACAGATTCTAAATGAGTAAAAATACTTTCTACAATTCAGACGGGTGTTACGTCATTAATTGCAGGTGGTTGCCTCGGCTTTGTTTGTAAGTGGCTAGAGTCAACAGTGATGTGCATGGATGCTCGCTTTGTGAGAGTAAGATCTCAGCGAAGCCGTCCGTATTCTAACGAGAACACACCGAGTAAACGAAGACGCAATTCGCAACTCAGACCGGATAGTCCACACGTTGTCGTTGTGGCTCTTCTTTGGGGTTGTTCCAATAGGCGAATGTCTCCTTTTAACCATGGACGCCAGGCCTGAATTGCATTTTCAACGTGAGGGCGAATGTAGGAGTTAATCAGCAATGGTACTAGCCGTCGCCCAAAGATACCGAGAGCTCGCCTCAGAAGTCTCAATTTTAAGTTCGCCACACTTGCTGCTTTCGAACATTAGAGCGAATTGCCGTGACTCTCTTGCACGATTATACTTAGATCGCGTTCATTAGGCACGTGTTGAAGGACCTGTTGCCCCAAAAGGTATGTGTTGACGAAGCTGCTGCGCACCTTCAGCAGGTGGTCTTTTGCTGGGTTCAGTGGGAGCTGGTTCCTTTCTGCTCATTCGTTAATCGGAGTCAGATCTTCCTGGAAGTAGACACGGTCGGATGCTGAGCGAATCGCTCTCCATATTTTAGCATCGTCTGCAAATATTTGCATCGGAGATAGAATGTCTGCTGGAAGCTCACTAATGTAGACTGAAAACAGTAGCGGGCCGAGGACGGATCCTTGTGGTACACCACTGGAGACGCACAGGCTTGCAGAGTGAGTGTCGGCTACTCTTACCTTGATTGCTCTGTCGTGTAAGCAGTCTTCTCACCAGGTGAGCATGGAACCGTTGATAGCGTAGACAACAAGCTTTTGGACGAGAAAGAAGTGATTGAACCTGTCGAATGCTTTAGAAAATTCCGAGTAAATCACGTCTATGGGGAATGTTTCATCAGCCGCCCTGGTCCATGAGTCCCGAGTAATCAGCCAATTGGTGGGACAAGATCGTCTGCGTCTGAAACCATGTTGGGCATTAGAAATTATTTATCGACTTTCAAAGTATCGTCTCAATTCATCTGCGATTACTGATCCCATACCTTTTGATAAAACGGGAAAAAGTGTAGTAGCTCGGTAGTTGGCAGGATCCGATCGCTTACCTCCTTTGTATATTGCAGTGATAATTCCGTTTTTTCACTCAGATGGGAGGGTATGGGAGTTAAGCAGACCCTGGGAAAAGGTTGCAAGTGTGATGCTATGGTGGGAGAAATGGTTTTCAGTACTTTTGGGCAGATCATGCCGAGTTTAGGGGCACTGTACTCCCGGAGAGACTGTAATTTGCTTGCAACAGCTTCTGAAGTAAAGGTGAGGCTGGAAAAGCCAACGACATTAGTTGGGAGTTGATAGGGAGAAGGTTCCATGGTATTTGTAGATACAGAGCCAAACTGCAGGAGTAGATTGTCCGAGGTATCCACAGCAGTAGTTGTTAGGCCACTGGCCGTCTTGAGTGGTGGTATTTCGGGATTAACCTTTCTTTTGCCATTCACAAATCTGTATAGTAGTTTGGTGTTACTTGCAAATTTCAGCACCATATTCTCCTGCCATTCGTATTTATCGACTCAAATGATCAACGTGCAGTAGTTTCTAATGACTTTGTAATTCTGCCATGTGGTATCACATTTGCTTAACGAATGTTGCCTCCAGATTTCATCTCTTCTGTTGATCCATTTACATGTGCTGCTCCGGATCCAAGTATTGGTCGGGCGCGATACTCGTAATGGTACAACTTTCGATACTGATGGTATGACCCAGTCAATTTTGTCTTTCAGTTCATTCCACGCGTCTGTAGGTCCCAATCAACGCTTGCTGCTGAGTTGTGCAGCTTAAACTAGTCCGTAATACTTCCCTGAGTCCCTCTTTCTTTAGCAACAATACTGGCATAACACATATAATCAAATATTAAGACTGAATGGTCGCCACGGCTCAGTGGAGGATCGTATGCTGTTGACTCAACCACCAACTCTTCATTAGTCAGGATTAAGTTCAGGAGTGATGGCTTGTTGGAACCGCGGTGTCTGGTTGGTCGATGCACATGGTTATAAAAAACTGCCATATCCATAAATTCGAGGAGTTTCGATTTAAATAATGGCCCAATAGGAAACATTGATGCTATTGAAGGAACATTAAATTCCCCCATTATAAGGTAGTGAGAGTACTTTTGTGAAACAGCATAGCGGAGGGCGTTTAACAGAATGTTATCGCTGTATGCTGATGAGTTCAGAGGCCTATAGACCACTGCTAAGAGGCAAGCATCACTCGTCTTCTGTGAACCAACATCTCGACCTGCTAGGTGCAGTCGGCAAAATAGTGCGTCGGGAATAAGAGAGGAATTTTCGGTAAGAACCTCACATTTCAAATAATCTCAATAGTAGAGAGCAACACCGCCACCGCGAGATGGACGACCATTTCAAATGACTGCCATCTCACTGAGTTCAATCTCTGGATCGAGTATGTCGTTTGAGAGCCAAGTTTCAGTAACTGCTATGAGGTCCCATGTTGTTGTTTCATGTCGATGGCGCAGTTCCGAGAGCTTAGAATACAACCCCTGAGTGTTGGTGTAGCCGCATTGTATTTGTTGACGCATCAGGAGCTCGGTTCGCTGTGAGTGACCGACACAAATAGTGCTGGTCTGCTGAAGTTTCTTGTAACGGTTGTTTGCACGGTTGGCAGATTTGAGATAGGTACAATTGAGGCTGGCTCATCTGTAGCTGAGGTCTGTACTAATTTAAGGAATGGTATTAACCGTACTTCTGGTGGCCCAAGTTTACTGTTGTCAGGCCATGTTTGGATAGCCACTGGTACCACTTCGGGCGCAGTCAAGTTAACTTTCAAAATTCGTAATCCGCTACCTTGGTAGTTTGTGAAAATAATTACACGGGTGACGTCAAATGTCACGACATTCTACATGTTGCAGACTTCTGCGATGTACCTCCATTCTTCGTGCTTCTGTTGTTCACTGCTATCTTCATGCTTCAATTCTGCCACACCATAAACCAGTACCACATTCTTCATCTCATTTTGACATGACGAACTAGAGTTGGATTTCCCATTTTGTCTTTCTGCCCATGGCCTGTCAGGAAAAATGCGGGCACTGACAGAAGAGTTCACTAGCATGTGGCTTGCTAAGAGAATATCTTCCAGGTCGTGCGTGTTCCAAACGTTACTCGCAGTAACCGATGTGCCCCTACGTGTGGAGCTGATGGATTTCGTGAAAGGCGTGTAAGATTAATTTGAAGAACTTTCAGTCTAAGAGCGCAGGTTATTTCAGCCCAGCGGTTTTGTTCCTCAGCTGGTCAACCATTTAGCGATTCGCTAGTGGGTTCTGAGATCTTTGAAAATAACACTGTCATCGCCTTTTGGTTGCGTAGTGATTGTTTGTTCTGCAGTTCATTGTGAGCGTAGATTTGTTGAGTGGGGGTGTCTGGCTTGTCTTGCGTGGACGATAGGCCATGGCTACAGCAAGATTTTTACGTGCAACACCGTTAGTTGCGCTATCTGTTGGGGTCAATTGTTGTTGACCAGCTACTGCAGGAGGTGAGCATGCAGTTTGTGAGTAACCGCATGCTTTGGAGCATTACGTGAGACCTGGGAGACCGTTCAATCGGCTGGTTTTCACTGTTGTTTTTCACTAATGGTGTTTGTCTTTCACTGGACTGGGTAGCATTGTTGCTAGACAGCTTTTGCTTTTTAACAGGTCGGGGATTCACACTACGTAACGCACTACTCTACAACTCTAGTTCTGAGATTTTCCCTCCCAATACCGCGGTCAGTTCCTTGTGGTCTGCCGACGTAACAGCCAACGCTTTACACCTTATCGTAAGCGCTTGAACAATCTTAATTATCGGAATATATGAACATAAGTCACAGAACCACAACCTAACTGTCGATACGTTGTTAGCTCCGTTAAGTGCTATGTTCACATTTGTTGCGTCATAGGAATTGGCACAGAACGAACAGGGGATTTTCGAGCGCATCTCAGTTCCCCGCTTGCCTGAGCTACGGTTGACGTTGGGTTTGTTGCGTATTGGATTTCCGGTTGACAAAGTTCTCTGGCCCATGGATCAATGGTCGGTATGCACTTTTAGGTTGCGCTGGTCACACCGTTTGGGCTGCCGGTCAGCGGGTTTGGTGGTGGTGCGTCACTGGGCGCAAGAGTAACGAAAATCACGCAGGCTTTGTGCAGTGAAATGCACGCAAATATATGCTGGTAATGTGAGATGACAAAAATGCCTGTACCTATGGTATACAGTGGTGCACAGCACTGTTATATATTCTGACGGCCTTAACATAGCTCTGTCGAATGGTATCCCAAATGTACTGATTAAACCCAAATAAGCAAAGTTACTCAAGTTGGCCTTAGTGAATAGACTTCCGAAGAATTGTTTGCGGTGTACCAGCTTGTCGTTGGACTTACTTCAAAAATATGGACCCCGTTGGATAGAGCTCAGTGATCCGAATCGATTGAGCGTACTTCCGAAAAGATGGCACAAGAATGTGAGGGAATAAGTCCAATTTAACACAGAGCACAGGATTGCACGATTAGCACGCACACGCTGACAAGGTCATCATGTTATGAGGCACATTATGCCAAGGAAAATTGTTACCAGATTTCCAATGATTTTTAGATCCTTGTTTGCAAAATTGGATCTGAATATAAGCGAGAAATCAAGTCTAAGCGGTCGTACCTTATGAATGCCGTAGTCCCGTGTTTTCCGAATCGTAGACATAGAAACTAATGTAAGCCAAACATTAATCACAGTTTCTCACTTATTGAAAATATCTAATGGATGTTTCTAAGAAAAGTACAAGAGTAACCATCTCAGTAAATTAAGGAAAATATGAATATCATTCACCTTTTTGTAACCACCCTTGTCATCATCATATCCTTCATTCTCTGAAGCCCCAATCACACCGTGAACTTTGTTTGCACCGATTCCCATAAACCATATTTGGGGATAATTCTTGATTTCTTGTTGTTCATAAAAAGTGAGTTCGCAACCATGTTGCTGAAGAGCAGCTGGAAAGTCGCCAATGAAGAGGTTTTTACCACCTGCATGCCATGTGCTGTGTATGTATGCTGTTTGAGTTATAACAGTTGTTTCTGAAGGGTACATCTTTGGGTCCTAATTACCCTTAACAACGCAATACAACCACTGCAAACACTTGTTCTTCACAGTTTATTTGAGAAAGTTTTCCGCTCTTACAAGGGGGACATAAGCATGCATATTCGTCTGCACAGTGTACGTTTTCCTCGTTTGTTACACCTGTTTGGTTATCTTATGGAAGCATGTATGCCTGTAGATCACTGTGGCATCAACAGGGTGATCGTTTAAGGAGACCAAATTCGCGCTCAGCGCAGCTGTTTCGAGTTTAACATGCGATTGCAACAGACGGGCCGTGATATACACTACAAAGTTAGTTCTCATGCATAACCCAGTATACTCAATATGCGTTTACCTTGTGACGTCCTACTTGTCGCCACTTATTGTGTGAGCCAATTACTTCAGGACAGCCTAACCAGTGTCTCTTGTTTGAAAAGCCCATCCGGCCTCAGTGCACAGTCAGAGTATTGCCAGTCACACTGTAAGCACGCTAACTAGCGTTATTTGACGAGTGCTTCTTCGTATAAATGAAGTCAACTTGATGACGACCCAACTGCTTATAACAGCGGCCCAAGAAAAAAAGAAAGTCAACGTGATGGCGACCAATTAGATATAACAATGGCCAAAAAGCGAATCAAGTTAATGCTGACTTACTTGTTGTAAGCTACGTCCGCACATGGCCGGATGAGACGTGGAAGTGCGGATGAAATCTTTCGAGGGATTTTAACCTGCTTGGAAACAGTAGACGGCTCCAGGTATTACTATGTTACTTTACGTGAAATGCCGGCTATACCTACATATATTATTATTCTCAAAATCCCCATCCTTTATTATTTATAGATGATAGAACACTCCTAGCACTCCATTAGGACCACTGGAAAACTTGAAGAACTTTCTTCGCTAATTGAGTATGCTGTACATATGATCAGGCCACGAAATGTGTCTGTGTCCCTCAAGGTCGAGAAATATGCTCTTTATTTATTTAGTGAGGGCGTTTAATGCTATTGGGAGATATCGATGGTTGGCCGTAGACAGCCAAACCGCAAAAATAGTCAATATTGTCCCAATGCACTGTCAAACATTAGCTCCAGCTTGGTGTTTTCAAGTGATGGCACGTACTTTATGCAACGTCGCCCTAGTCTGCCTACTAATGCAATAATACACAACAAGCAAGATTGTTCAATCAAAGAACGGGTTGTAGTTGCCTCTATTAGACTTTCTGCAGTACAACATGTGTCTCACAATTTGCTTGAAGTTAGCTAGCTAAATCATCTGTTATGGTGTTCTGAAAGTAAGAGCACGGAAACGAATAACAACAAAGGGTTGAAATTTGCATCACACTACACTACTTGATAGCATAAGTTGGAAAAACAATCATAATATAAGTAATTCTTTTTTCCTTCTGAGATCCGGAAAGCGAGAACGGCGCCGTGAAACTGTGGCCGGAGACTAAACTTTCAGAATTCTTGGAATGGATCGAGAAGTCATGGTTTCAATAAGATTTGTGGTAAATCGGTTGGTTTCTTTAGTTCCAAAATCTTGCATGATAGCAAAGATTTCTACTTAAACTACATCAACATGCTTTACAAGCTGACCGTGCCCAGTTACCCGACGACAATGATCGCTATCAGTAATACAACTACGCAACCACTAAGAAGCCTGCAAACAATATATATATATATATATATATATATATATATATATATATATATATACTGCGCTAAAGCAGTCAACTGTTTAAGTGTGCTCATGAGTAAGTGCGATTGGCTGACTGGGATAAGCAAACATTCGGCAAATACTAGGATCGCACCATCGGAGGGGAATATGGCCGCCTTTAGACACCAACTAGACAAATCAAGCTCCGGCTCTCGGCCAAAAAAGAGCCAGACGCTCCAATCGCACTCCAGCGTATGAGTCTCCAAATCGTCTGGCTGACCTCACCCCATATTCGGACAAGCATCCAGCGTACCTGCTCCCACTCCTATCAGCAGTGCAGCCCCCATTAAGTCGGTAGCGATGATGGCAACTCCGACCCACAGTTCATCCACCATAGAGAAAAACCGCGCATCATGCACTTGTGTTGCTTCCTTGCAAGTGTCATAGAGAATACCTCCGAATCCGCTAGCAGCACCAAACAACATTCGGCTGGCGCAATTTCCACCATCAATCAAACCGCTAAAAACATTAACATGTCTACCCTTAAATCTACAGGCAAAAGAGGCGATCACGCTGCCCTATCTGTCCTGAGCACACATGTTCCAGAAGCGCCTTCTGGTACAAAAAGGCGGAAGAAAATGGACAACTGAAACCAGTGGAAGTCCAGTTGTGGTACGATTGGCATCCTAATTGAGCCTACGACGCTGAGCCTAGTCACACGTCACCTAACTTCAGTGCATTACCGTGAAGGTCGACATCTCCGGTTGACGCTGATTTCCACTGAGGAAACAGACGCCGTTCTACTGTCGTCGATTCGGAACCGCAATTCATCACCTGAGATGCGCTTGCTCCCGGACTCCCATTGGAATGGATGCTGGAAATAGACTAGCAACCGTAAGGAATTTGCTAACTCGGACGAAGCACGGACTGTTAGTGTTTATCAAGTTCCAGAGCTTCAAATATCCTCCTTTGAGAAGGGGATACACGACCTGGAGCGATGGAGTTACGACTACCAGGAACTATCCCACACCTAAACCATGGCTTAGCGGTTTACAAAAATTTCAGTTTTACCCAACTACAATGGGAACGGTCCTAGTCTGATGGTGGTGACGCTTCAGTCTGAACTAATGACATCGTTGATCTTGGTAAACTGGTCCAAGTTCTGGAAGAGGCTGCGTTGAGAAATTCGGTAGAAGATATGTGTTAGATGACAGTTGGTGGCTTACGGCTCACTGTAGATGACCAAATTGGTGAATTTTCTCCTTATGGAGCTATTGAGGAGATTGATCTAACGACAATCTCAGCATCAGACAGAATGCGACTAAACGCGGGAGGTCATCGAGGCATGGACAGCCGCAACCAGTCGTATAAGCTAACAAAGGTTCAAAGAAAACGGTTCCTTAGAATTAACGGTAAGCGGCCGACCCCTCAACGGTAAACACACTATCAATCTTAGTTTAACGTATACTAACTCATTTTGGTTACCGTGAAACTGTCCTGCGTTTGCACTAGCGCACAAGGTCTTCTGATTAAATTGCACGAACTCCATCATTGTCATATATATTGGTTATTTAAGCACATTATGTTACTTTTACGAGGGAATGCTTAGTTGTTCTTACCTTATAATAACTGGCATTGATTTATATATATTTATCGGGCCCGAGCTCTATAGTCACTCGTGTTTTTTCAATACCACCATTTAACCTGGATTCTGCCCAGAACTTTCTCCACCCACGCACCTCCCCACTATCTGCATTCTAGCTGCAGTCACCAAGACATCCACTCTGCACACCTGCATACTCTGTCGTTCTTCCTATATGTCTACTTATTAATTGACTCGCTACATGGGATATCACACAGAACATCCCCTAGACTATCGCCGTATCGACGAGCCAGTACTTAATGTTTGTCCTTTCTACGGCAGGTCTTTCACTTCGGCGCCAGCGCTGATAATATCAACGGAAACACACCGAAGAATATCGTGCTCACATCACATCGAGAAAAGCCATTCGCAACATCTCTTAGTGGAATGAAAATGGTGCCGAATTTATACGGTTATCCGACGAGCTGCAGCCCGGGGAGGGAATACTGAAGAATCTATCGCTCTGCCTAAAACGCCATTTTCCAACGGGAACACCGGCGACAATTAAGAGAAGGTTGTAGCATATCAAGTGGATCAAAGCACAATGGTCAAACAATGTTGACGTCCGGAGAGGTTCACGCAGAATAGTCGGCAACGCACCATCAATGACACAGGACTCTTCCGCAGTGCATGCTCTTTCGGCTGGCCATTCCCAGAGTGTAAGTACACACCCTCCAAGGTGTCATCCGAATGTCCCATTGTTATTAGACACTATACATTGCATTAAGAAGCGAGTGCAAGATCTCAATTGGAACATCTCGGGAGGAAGAGAGCGCCTCACTAAGTGCTCAGCTTTTCCAGTTAAGCAAGCTTCCTCAACATCCATCTTTCTTACTCAGCAGCCTGTGGTGGTGGATGAAAGCTGGCGTGAACCGAATCGCCTGCCTCAGTGCGGTCGATCAGGCGATGGATAGAGCAGACGAGTGGCTTTTTGAATATACGGCTTGTTGTACTTTGCCTCAGAGTTGCGAATAGAACGTTTGGGCGCAGAGCGGTGTGAGCTCTTTCTTTTGACGCGGCTGGGGAACGCCTGCACAAAACATGGTGACAGACGTACAAACGTGCCAAAACTTGCTCGCCATTGAGGAGCAACCAATGATCTCATTGCCAACCCCGCTAGAGATGAGAGAAAACACATTGTCGGACAACTGGAAAGCCTGCAAAGCGGATTGCATGGAATTCGCAGCGTTGGTTCAGTTGGCTGAATATGCAAGACCATACTAGTTGGCAATGTTCAGATACTCCATCGGCTCTGAAGCAAGTAGGATAACGGAGGCCTGGGAGGTTTGGAACAACGAATCGGATCTTTTAGAAATAATCCACCGTTTTGAAGGATACGGGGGAGGTCGATCATGTATTTTTACCCAATGCCGCCGAGTGGACGAGAATCGTTCAGGCGCGCCTGAAATCAATCAACAGTCGCAAGAGCGATTACCAAATAACTTGGAAAATCAAGAAGGTCAGCATTGCATTTCTGCAATACTCCAGATTCAAGGATAACCGGCACCGTCAAGGCTTGATTCAAGAGCCACTGTGAGTAAATCGCTCGGGAAACAATACAGTGGAATGCAGTGTAGTGTAAAACAGAGTTGACACAAAAGGTAGAACGACTATATG